CCCCCTCTAGTACTGGGGCGCCTCTTTACAGCAGGGAGCATCCTGTCGCAGAAGGTCCCTGGCCCTGTGCATGTGCCCTGCTGCGTGCTCTTCACCTGCGCTTTGTCTGGCTGTTTGCAGTTTTGGCCCTCTGTCTTCTGGATCACGCCTGGAGGGCTGGGTCCCTCACTAACAGTCTATGTTTCCTCTGCAGCACCTGACACTGTCTTAACCTTGGTCAGCAGATCTAGAATTGTATGATTTAATGAGTAGAATGTCTTAATGTTATTGCAGTGCCCTATTTTCCGAAAACATAAAAAGTTTTATTTTTCTATTTGGGAGCGAACCGATTATACCTTAAGCACTTTTAAATTTAACTACCCCCTAACCTTTTCTTTCTTTTTCAGTTACACAAAAGCTTGCCTTAATTGAGTGAAAGACTGATTTAAATCATCTGACTAAAAGTTCATTTACTATAACACTAGAGCTCTGTTCACCAGTGACTAGTTTTATCTTCTTTGACCAGTAATATTTAAGTGAAGTACATGCTTCAGGTAATTGTATTCTTTGATACCCCATGCCGGCAAATATCAAGTATAAACCAAAGAAACTGGGGCCCATTCCCAAGCAGGTTACTATGAAAGATGTTGACATAGTTCCTGGTTCTCATTGTTTTTCTTCATGTTGATACAGAAATAACTTTAAAACATGTTTTGGAGGATAGCTGACATTGTATTGGTTTTAAGTGTATAGCATATTGATTAGGCACTTACATGTATTATAAAGTGCTTACCGTGATAAATGTAGTTACCATCTGTCACCAAAATTACTATAGTATCATTGGCTGTGGTCTCTACAATGTACTTTTCATCCCAGTGACTGATTTATTTCATAACTGGAAGTTTGTAGCTCTTGATCTTCTTCAGCTATTTCAGCCATCCCTCCACTCCTCTCCCCTTGGGAAACCTCCAGTTCTCTGTACTTATTAGTCTATTTCTGTTTTTTTTTTTTTGTTTGGCTTTTGTTTGCACATTTGTTTTGTTTTTTAGATGCACATGTAAGTGAAGTCATATGGTATTTGCCTTTCTCTGCCTGGCTTATTTCATTGAGCATAATGCCCTCTAGGTCCATCTGTGTTGTTGCAAATGGCAAGATTTCTTTCTTTTTTATGGTTGAGTAATATTCCATTGTGTATATGTGCGACATTTTCTTTATCCATTTATCAGTGGATACTTGCGTTGTTTCCATATCTTGGCTGTTGTAACATGCTGCAATAAACAGGGGTGAATATACCTTTTCAAATAAGTGTTTATGTTTTCTTTGGGTAGCTAACCAAAAGTGGAATTACTGGATCAAATAGCATTTCTGTTTTTAATTTTTTGAGGAACCTGTACATTTCCACAGTGGCTGTACAAGTTCACATTCCCACCAACAGTGCACGAGGTGTTCCTTTTTCTCAACATCCTGGCCAACACTTTGTTATTTCTTGTCTTTTAGATAGTGGCCATTCTGACTAGTGTGAGGTGGTATCTCATAGTCGTTTTGGTTTGCATTTCCCTGATAATTAGTGATGTTCAGCATTTTTTCATGTGTCTGTTGGTCATCTGTATGTCTTCAGAAAAATGTCTACTCATGTCCTCTGCCCATTTTTATATCAGATTATTTTATTGTTCTGGTGTTATGTTATATGACTTCTTTATATATTTTGGATATTAACCCCTTGTCAGATAAATCATTTGCAAATATCTTCTCCCATTCAGAAGGCTGCCTTTTCGTTCTGTTGATGGTGTCCCTTGCTGTGCAGGAGGCTTTTGGTTTTATGTAGTCTCACTTGTTTATTTTTGTTCTTGTTTCCTTTGCCTGAGGACACATCCAGAAAATTGAGAAGATCAGTGTTTAAGAGTTTACTGGCTGTTTTCTTATAGGAGTTTCACAGTTTCAGATCTTATATTTAGTTCTTTAATCCATTTCAAGTTTATTTTTGTGTGTAGTATAAGACAGCAGTTCTGTTTCATTGTTTTGCATGTAGCTGTCCAGTTTTCCCAACACCACTTATTGACGAGACTCTTCCCCACTGTATATTTTTGCCTCTTTTGTCATAGATTAATTGACCATATAAGCGAGGGTTTATTTGAGGGCTGTCTACTCTGTTGCATTGATGTATGTGTCTGTTTTTGTACCAGTACCATACTCTTTTGATTACTGTAGCTTTGGGGTATAGCTTGAAATCAGGGAGTGTGATACCTCCAGCTTTGTTCTCTCTCAAGATTGCTTTGGCTATTTAGGGTTTTTTGTGGTGCCATACTAATTTCAGGATTATTTGTTTTAGTTCTGTGAAAAATGCCATCAGTATTTTGATAGGGATTGCAATGAATCTGTAGATTGCTTTGGGTAGTAGGGGCATCTTAACTATTAATTCTTCCCATGCGTGAGCATGGTATATCTTCTCATTGTGTCATCTTCAGTTTCTTTCATTACTGTATTATGGTTTTCATAGTACAAGTCTTATACATCCTTGATTAAATTTATTCCCAGGTATTTCATTATTTTTGAAGAACCTGAAACTGTAATGGGATTGTTTTCTTAATTTCTCTTTCTACTAGTTCATTAGTAGTGTATAGAAACAACATATTTCTGTATGATTTTTGTATCTTACAACTTTACTGAATTCATATATTAGTTCTAGTAGGTTTTTGGTGGTCTTTAGGTTTTTTTACATGTAGTATCATGTCATCTACAAATAGTGACAGTCTTACTTCTTACCAATGTGGATGCCTTTTATTTCTTTTTCTTTTCTGATTGCTGTGCCTAGGACTTAAAGTACTATGTTGAATTAAAGTGGTGAGAGTGGGCATCCTTGCCTTGTTCCTCATCTTAAAGGAAAAGCTTTCAGCTTTCACCGGTGAGTATGATGTTAGCTGTGGGTTGTCATATATGCCCTTTATTATGTCGAGGTTTGTCTCGTTTTGGTATCAAGAAATGCTGGCTTTTTAGAATGAGTTTGAAAGTTTCCTTCTTCAGTTTTTTGGAATAGTTTGAGAAGAATAGGTGTTACTTTTTAAAATGTTTGGTAGAATTCTGTGAAGCCATCTGGTCCGGGACATTTGTTTTGGGAGTTTTTTGATTACCAGTTCAATATTGTTACTGGTAATCAGTCTGTACAGATTTTCTATTTGTTTCAGTCTTGGAAGAGTCTATGTTTCTAGGAATTTACTCATTTCTTCTTGATTTTCCAGTTTGTTGGCATACAATTTTTTGTAGAATTCTCATAATCCTTTGTATTTCTGTGATGTCAATTGTAACTTCCCTTTTGTATATGATTTTATTTGAGTCCTCTCTTTTTTCTTGGTGAGTCTGACTGAATCAGGTTTATCAGTTTTGCTTATTTATTCAAAGAACTAGCTCTTCATTTCATTAATCTTTTCTATCTATATATTTAGTCTACTTCATTAATTTCCTCTTTGATCTTTATTATTTCCTTCTACTAACTTTGGGCTTTGTTCTTCTTTTTCTAGTTTCTTTAGGTATAAGGCTAGATGTTTCTTGTTTCTTGAGGCAGGCCTTAGAACTTCCCTTTTAGAACTGTTTTTGCTGTGTCCCAAGGACTTTGAACGATTGTGTTTTCTGTTTTTGTCTGTCTCCACACATTTTTTTGATTTCCTCTTTGATTTCTTGGTTGACCATTGGTTGTTTAGTAGCATATTGTTTAGCCTGACACAGAAATTACTTTTAAAATTTCGTGGAACACATTCCACCAACTTCAGTCTCCAGTGCCAGAGATGGGCCTGCTTTTCTGGGTTTATCACCACAATCGAAAGTCCTATAAACTTTAAAATATTCTTTTGACACCCTCCCTATACTTTTATGAGTGTTTTCCTGTTTATAGAAGCACATGTGCATAGTTCCAGAGTCCACAAAGGCCTTGTTAGTCTAAAGCACCATTTTGACCAGAAGAATGGGTTTAATGACGTGGCCTGCCTCTCTCGGCAAGGGGCTAACTCCTTGTCCCGTGTGTTCTTTTTAGAGATAAGTAGCAGTACAGGGCCTACCGTGTTTCTGGGATCTGTCATTCCCCTGCTGGATTATTTATGCTCCTGGTGTGATCTCTACAACGGATTTTTCTGGGCATGCTGCAGCCAGCATTGCTTTTTTATTGCTTCTCTGTTTTTCATTGTGAAGAATGGTTCTTTTTCCTACAAGTCAGATTATTTTGAAAGATATTTATACCCACATGTGATTTAACTCTCAAATAACATTTCTTTAGCAAGCTTACCTCACAAACTTCTCCTGTTGCTTCCAGTAAAAAAATAATCTGGTTTTGTAACATATTTATTAGCAGGTTAAATTTCTGTATGTTGAGGCTTCAGGTAAAATTGCATGACAGTAAAAACCCTTCTATGTTCTTTTCGTAGAATTGGTAGGAAATATCAAAATCTGGAAAGGCATACTTTGAATAATTTTAAAGCAGTGTCTCTTAAAGAAGATGTGTTACGAACATGATTTCTATGGACATCAGTTCATAGGTATTCATTTTACAGTAGAAAATAAAGATGTATACCAACCTTTTATCTGAAAAATGGGAGAACTTTATTGGGAGTTAAAGTGCTGATTGGGGAAGCACCCTAGGGAGGAAGAGCTACAGATGACGGGAAATAGGGAATATGACCTAGAAGCAAAGCAAAGGTTCATGAGTGGACAGTCATTATTCCTCCTTCTCTTTGGCTGCTAGGATTCTCAGGACCAGTATGCTTACAATCCCTGGTGTTGTTTGTGGTCCTTATTTTTCTCATTTATTTTATCCTTTCTTATTTCTGAAGTTGCCTTAAAACTTTTATTTCCCTGAAAGAAGTGAGGAGTAACTAAATAAAAATGAAATAAGATGTTTTGTGATTGTGTCAAACATTCATTTTATCTTATAGCAGGGATGTTTTTTGACCTCTTATTCAGATTGCACATGTCTAAATCCCACTTGGCGCTGTCTCTGTGCTGTAATGTCTCCGTGTGCTTGTCTTGTTTTGTAGAGTGGCTCACAGAGTGAGTGCTCCTTCCTGCTGGACTTCAGTTCTGTGGTGCAAATGGAATATAGGACTCAGTTGTCTGGCCCAGAGTGAGAGGAGCCTGAGGTCCAAGATGGAGAAGAAACGAAGAAAGAAATGAGAGCCTCTGTTCAGGCCGACCACAAAAGGCCATGAAACTGCACTTTTATTTACGTTGGACAGACTGTAGAACAGCGGATCAGTAATGTTTCAGCATTTAGCTGAAACAAAAATTAACTTATAATCAAGCAGGAAAAAAGTGTGATTTGAATTTATGCAATTTTATGATCACATTCACTTAAGACCATGAAGCTTGTCAACATCTGGCTGCTTCTGCTAGTGGTTTTGCTCCGTGGGAAGAAACATCTGGGTGACAGACTGGAAAAGAAATCTTTTGAAAAGGCCTCTTGCCCTGGCTGTTCCCACCTGACTGTGAAGGTGGAATTCTCCTCAACAGTTGTGGAATATGGTAATGGTATTATTTTGAATGTCAGGGATACCCACCCCACCATACATTTTTTTCAAACTTACTTTAAACATTAGCTTTTGCCAAAAAAACATTTGTCTTTTCTGTAATAAATTTCAAGTGGAGTGAGCGTGTAGTGCTTGGCTGCTAAGTTGGCTGAGGTTTGTTTTCCCAGCACAGTTAGCTGATGCGAAGCAAGGAAATCACACTGAGTCCATTTCCCTAAGACGCAAGTCTGCAGGGCAGATGCCAGTGTGGCTGGCGACGGGGAGTTCGAGGTGCCGCAGGTTACTCTGATGTTCACGCCAGGTGTGACTAACCAAGCAAAGCATCTTAAGTAATCTGCTCTAAATTGTGTTATTCTTTTCTGTAAAATAAAACTGAGCCTTCACTTCTCTGAATTCCTTTTTCCTGTTTGAAAAACTTACATACGTTTCTTTGCCATACATTCAAACTTCTGTTAATATTTGCTTTTTGATAAATAGCACAGATAACTGACGTGGAGTGAGGTGTTCTGTTTGGGGATTCATGCGGATCAGTTTAACTCACAGTTTTCACAACTGCTGCCCAGGGTATTTAAACCGGTTTTTTTGCTTACCATTTCCACTATAGGTTTTAAGATATGTAAGTTTTCTTCTCATGGGGAAATTTTAGATATTCTTTTGTTATGATGTACGTACATAAATTCTTATTTTTTATTTGTGGTTGTTGATTTCAGAATACATTGTGGCGTTCAATGGATACTTTACAGCAAAAGCTAGAAATTCATTTATTTCAAGTGCTCTGAAGAGCAGTGAAATCGACAATTGGAGAATTATACCTCGAAACAATCCATCCAGTGACTACCCTAGTGATTTTGAGGTGATTCAGATAAAAGAAAAACAGAAAGCAGGGCTGCTAACCCTTGAAGACCATCCCAACATCAAACGGGTGACGCCCCAACGCAAAGTCTTTCGCTCCCTCAAGTGCACTGAGTGTGAGTACCAGGGCCTCAGGCTGATCTCTGCGGGTTCCTGCTTCCCGCGGGCTTTGAGAGTGAACGTACATATCACACCTTAGGTGCTCTGCCACCCTCCCCGCCCCCAACCTGATTTGGAAAAATTTCAAACTAGCGGAATAGTTGAAAGATAGTACAGCAAGTGCCCACATCCCTTCATCTGGTTTCATCATTGTGAACACTTTCTTGTCAGGGATTCAAAAAACACAAAAGCGGCTCGGCACTGTCCTGGTAGGAAGAAGACCGGGAATCTGGGATGGGACTGATAGTGAGCTCCGTTTCTGGGAAGTGGTGCCCCCCAGCTCTGTGCGGAGCCGCCATACTGTGAGGCTGTGACCCTGACACGCTGAAACAAGACTCTTTGCTGTGGCATCTCCATGCACGTTTTGCTTCTGTCTGTCATTTTTCAAGGCACCTTGCAAGGGGTTGTTCTGTTCCATTTAATTTTGTTTTCAGTGAGCCTTCTCAGGGCTTGTGAAGTCGTAAGCTGTGCAGGTGTGAGGGTGGAGGAGTTTGTTCTCTTTTCAGCTGGAAGGCTTAGTCCTTCCTGCTTCTTTACAGTGTGTTCTTGTCAAGATTGAGTTTATTTTAAAGTAATAAATGGCATATTTATTACATAATAGTTTCCAAAGCATATGCATTACCATAGGAAAAGTCTTTTTTCCTGTTCTCATAAACTGGGGTAACAAATAACTAGTTCTGTTACATTTACTGGCATTACTTTCATTGGAAGAAAAAAGTTTTGCTTTTCTTCCTTTGTCTGTCATATACTACACCTGAGAACCTCTGAGGTTTAAAAAAACAGCCAAGGGAAAATGCTAACTAATTTGCATTGTGTGAGAATCCAGTTTGCGAGTCACCTTAGACATCAGGTGCCTGACTTGAGAGCTCTTTGGCCCAGATGTTCTGTTATACTTTTACTCTAACAAGCAGCAGCCTCAGAGCAGTCCAGGAAGAGAAAACAAATCAGACCTTGTACAGTTAGCCAAAAATGTACACTTGGCCTTTTTGTTTCATTTTATTTTTTATCTTAAAGACCTCTAGAATCAGAAATCTGGAGGTGCCTGATTTTACCACAGCAGTCCTCAAATCTCAGGGTCAGGCCTCCTTTCCATATACTTGTGGTTGTCGGACTCTGTGCTTGAGCCTGTACAGAAGGAAACAGTTTGCTTCTGACAGGCCAGATCTTTCTTGTTATTTGTGACCTTGTGTGGCAAACAGCTTTAAGTTTCAAGTTTTCTCATCCCCAAAATGGAGATAATACTACCTGCCTCATACAGCTCTTACGAGGTAAAAGAGTGTATATGAAGAGAGCTTCGCAGCACTTAGGATGTTGACAGTAGACATTGACTATCGCTGATTTCTGTGGTGTTACTATTATTTGCTTCATTTGGAGCTGAAACCTGTCTCCCTCTGGATCCTGTCCCTGGCTGTATCCGTGGGCCTTAAGGCAGAGATGACTAGTTTTTCTATAAGACATTATGTAAAGGTGTTTGGAAGATATCCATGGTGTCCCCCTTGACAGACTCTTCTCTCCAGGAAAGTGAAAACCTCCAGTTCCTTCAACAGGTACTCTTAAGACTTAATTTCAAGTCCCCTTGTCATTTGATTACTTTCCTTTCAATCCTCTCCAGTTTTTCTAACTTCCTCTTAGAGCACAGCCCAGCACTGAATTCAGTGCCTCAGGTATAGTCTGGTCTGCCTCAGATGAGGTGGAACAGACCCTCCCTCCCTTGTTCTAAATATCATTCTCCACTGAGCCCCTCCAGGCCTGTCCCTTGCGCTTGACTTAAAGAACAGACTCAACACAGGAAGTTCAGTGCAGCATGATTTCAGTTAGACTGTGCAGATAATTGCTAAATGCAGATATTTCCTCAGGTCCCTATCCTTTCATAGACATAGCCTGTAAGACAAGAATAAAAATGATAGTAATTTGCTTTAGAGACAGAACTTTATTAGTCTTTACAGATTTGTTTTTCTTAAAACTGATTTGAAATATGATTTTTCTTCAGTGTAACATAATCTTTGAATAGTAAAGGGACAACTTTGGTGGTATTTCTTTTGCTTTTTCCTCTATTTTTAAAGAAGTAAGGTATTTACAGATAATAAATTCATGCTTTCTAGTGCACAGTTCATCCAGTTTTGATAAGAGTAAGGTCAGGTATTCACCAGCAAACTCAAAATATAACAGTTCATCGCCTTCGGAATCCCCCCAACTCCTTCATAGTTTTTTTTGCTTTTAAAAAGGTGACCCTCTAGTCAATAAGCACATTGCAGAAATCGAGCAATATACAGTGAGGAGAAGGTCCCGTTGATGTTCAGCCAGACGTGGGGTAGTGGGACAACATGTCTTTTCTGTTGGAGAAATCCAGTGTTGTAAACTTCACGACTGGTTAGTGGCCATTTTCTTTTTTTTCCCCTTCTGGTTCAGTGAGAACAAGTTGCTGATGCAGAATTGGACATTTCTTCAGTTTTAGTATCATGATTGACTTTATTTCTTTAAAAGTGGTCCTTTTACCAGTCTTTCTGTGCCTTACATTGGAGCTAAATGGTGTCCTGTAAAGCATAACCACCTTGAGGAAGCCCCGCTGGCAAAGGCAGACAGTCCCACTTTCTGTCAAGCAGGATCTCAGAGGGCAGCCCTGCCTGTTCATAATGTTGTCTCCCCACCGGGTATCATGACATGGGGCTTTCCCTCTCCTGACCTTCCTCTCCTTGGCTCTAGCTGACCCCGTGGTGCCCTGTAATGGAACCCGATGGAGCCAGAAGTGGCAGTCGTCCCGTCCCCTGCGAAGAGCCAGCCTCTCCCTGGGCTCTGGGTTCTGGCATGCTACAGGAAGACACTCGAGTAGACGGTTGCTGAGAGCCATCCCGCGCCAGGTCGCCCAGACGCTGCAGGCAGATGTGCTGTGGCAGATGGGCTATACAGGTGTGTGCTGTGAGCCTGGGCGCAGTGGAGGCCCAGTGTCCATGGAGTCTCCCTCTCTCCAGTGCCCAGTGCTGGAGTCAGGTGGCCGCGGGCATCCGCCCTCACTGTTGTTTGGGCTGGACACATTCAGCTGCCTGTAGTCCTTGACTCCTGTTGTGCTGGGCATCTGTTTCTTTGGCTTTTCTAATTGTTAGGTCTTGTTCCCCTTTTGTGTCTTATTTTTCTGTATCGTTGCTAAGGTGAGAAGGGGTAGACTGTGGAGCATTTCTCTCCTGTCGGCTTATTTGGGCAAACACAGCACTGCTTGCAGCCAGAGCCCGCTCGCCATCCAGCGAAGTCGCGGTTACTCAGAGAATGAGAGCAAATCCGAAAATGGTTACCGTGATGGGCAATAACACAAAAATGAGTTTGCCACTCGAGTGTGGTGCTCTGCATGCAGAACGGCTACATGCTAGACTGATGCACTTGGTCCTTGTGTCAGAACAGGAAACAGTAGTAATGACCAACCATATCCTGTGAAATAAAACTCAGGACCAGTACGATTTTTCCCTTACTGTTTCATCTACCCTAGTTTGTCTAGGTGTCTGTACTTACTTCTCCAAAACTTGGAGACCTTCTCCATTGATTTCCTCTGCCTCCCACCCTTCAGAATGTTTGATACACTGAAACTTTAACACCAGGGAGACTGACATTTTATGGAAATGATTGCCACCCCTTGGTTTTATCTTTTTAGGGTGAGACCTCCTTCATGAAACAAATTTTTTAATCATCAGGAAAGCATTTTTCATTCCCCCAAACCAAATGGTTTTCAATTTTATGTGTGCATTTTTAAAAAGTAAGCAATATGTTTTGATAATTATCTCAGTATATTTGATTATTTAGTACAGTATTGATACATAAACACAACTTCTATACCAGAAAGACATTACCTTCATTATGTGTTAGCTGTTAAGTAATACAAGTGTTTTGTATTTTTCCTGCATGTTTTGCAGGATTTCTTGATCTGACATCAATTTTATTTCACATTGGTGCTGATGGCTTGGGCCAGTATCTGAAATAGACTCATTAATTATAGAAAAGTATTAAGGACAGTGGTTTCACTGAAAGTGTGATTACCCCCATGTGTTGTTGATAGCCCCTCCACAGAGCTGTTATGACTGAGCAGCATTTGAGTACAGTCCCCATCCTCATCAGGAACAGACAAGCTTCCCTCCGTCCTGGAGGTGTGTTCTTCGTGGATGCTCATAGCCCTAGAGGCCTCTCTCAGGCTACGAGGGGATGGAGGCCTGGGGGACATCACCGGGAGAAAATGAGACCCCGGTGGGAGAGTGGGAGGGGTGGTTTGGAGGGGCATCCTGAGAGAGTCTCGATCTATGCTCAAGTTGAGCAGCAGATGTTGCCTCACCCGCTGTCCCCTCTTCTTGGTCTCAGCTCGTCCAGGGTCCCCGGGGCATTGGACCTGAGTTGTGTGTCCTGGCAGGCTTTGGCTTTCCGTGGTCTATCATTCTTTTTGGGTCCCAAGGAGGAATGTACTTCATAGACAACAACCCAAAAGGAGGCCTTCTGTGAACATGATTATGCTTACCTCCTTTTGGATAAGGTGCTAACGTGAGGGTTGCCGTTTTTGACACTGGGCTGAGTGAGAAGCATCCACACTTCAAAAATGTGAAGGAGAGAACCAACTGGACCAACGAGCGCACGCTGGACGATGGTGGGTTCCGCACAGGCTGTGGGTGTGAGAAACACCCCTGGTCTCCGTGGGCTTCGTGCCACCTCCAGTCCTCTTTTCTGTGGTTTGGAGTATATTTTCTTGTGTGCTACTGATTAAGTAGTCCACGTACAATGGTTTTTAGACAAACCCAAGTTTTTATTGCACCTATTGGCAGAGAGACCTAAGTGCCTCAGAGGGTGTTGGGAAGCAGCGTTTGAGGAGGGGGTGCCTTGCAGAGGGGCACTTGTTCTCCGTCTTGGAGAGAGCTGGAGCGCTGGACCTGTGGAGGAGCAGGGGCGTGGGGCTCAGGGGGCAGGACAGTGGCCGCAGCTGAAATTCTTGGTCTGGGATGAGGAGGGTAAGTCGTTTGAATCGATGGTTTGAAATGTGGGTGTTGGTGCCCATTATCAGCTGTGTTCTGTGGCTTTCCTTCCTTGTGGACACAGGGCTGGGCCATGGCACCTTCGTGGCAGGTGTGATAGCCAGCATGAGGGAATGCCAGGGCTTCGCTCCAGATGCGGAACTTCACATTTTCAGGGTCTTCACCAATAGCCAGGTGGGTGTTTTGAGGACCCCTGAAACTTAAGGATTGTTACTGAAATGTAAAAAGGAAGAACTCTAGAAGGCACTCATTCCTTTAGAAGCAGTGCGAGTCAGCGGGCTGGCTCAGCACATGCAGCCCCTCCACCGTCCCTGTGTGGCTGGGCTCTCCTACCACCCCCGCATGGGCTTCACTTGACCCTGGAGGCCGCACTCCCAAGTCACTGAGCACAGCAATTCCTTGACTTCCCATTTCTTCCTCCCCATCGGGCTTGCCCAGGGCTCTTGTATCCCCAAGTCTCAGACACATTTCTTACACTTTCTTCATGAGAATAATCATGTGGGTGTGTTTTGCCCCCCTACTGGGCCGTGACTGCCTGAGGGTCACTGGTGTGTCCCAGCTCCTTGCCTCTGGTGCCATGGGTTTCTAAGCTTGTTCCTCACTCTTCACATGGAAACTAGTCATAGGAGAGGGAGGGTCCTATGTTTATTTACTTTGAAATTTTAATTTTTATATAGATAATACATATTTCAAAAGTATCTAAAGGAACACAGGGAGAATCCTCCCAGCCCCGTCCCCATCAGGCAGCCGTCTGCCTTCCTCCCCACGTCTCCCATGTGATAGTTTTCTAGTTTCTTTTGTCCCTCCTCCTAGAATTTCTTTGGCATATATAAGCAAATATAAATATGTAGTCTTATTTTAAAAGCCTTTAAAAAATAGAATTCTTAATTATTACAGTGATCCTATTTCCAGTTTAAGTTTAATCTTGTTTTTCATAAAAACATCTAAGCTGTGATATGTAAAGTAATTTAACTTCTATCAGGAAACAGGAGGAATTGAACATCAGAGAAATAGTTCTGTGAAATACCTTTTAGTGATGCCATTTATCCTTTGGTCTATTTAGGAATAAAGAATACTCTACAAATGCATTGAACTATTTAGAAACATTCAATAGAAGCATTTTAGGGTAAACCATTTTATAAGAGGGGCAGCTAGACATCTGGTGTTTTACCTAGAGGGGCACACTAATGTCAGGAGCTGTACCTTAGGTGGGGGTGGGGGGGGTCAGCTGCCCTCAGAACATAGCCCTCCCTGGGGTCAGCTCTGGAGGCTGAGGATTTATGGTGTGGTGTGCTAGTTTATATTTCAGGGCAGGTTCTTGGGATTTACTTCTGAAATTTAAGTTAGTACTTCATGCTGCTAAGCGTCTATACTCTTGAAAATAGAAACTGTGTTGTAGCACTAAGGGACTGTTTTGAAATGAACCAGGTATCCTACACCTCTTGGTTCCTGGATGCCTTCAATTATGCCATCTTAAAGAAGATGGACGTGCTGAACCTCAGCATCGGAGGCCCCGACTTCATGGACCATCCCTTCGTCGACAAGGTTGGTTGCTCTGCACAGAAGGATGTGTGTTTGGTGACAGCACCTGTTCTTTCACGTGCTTCATCTCCTGTGTGCGAGGCGACTGCTTTGTGAGGCTGGGCAGACGACGATGGGGACTTTGGTGACTGCATCAGGAGCAGCACACGGGGCCTTGTCGATGCCTTCTCGTTGAAGCACAGAGCCCATCATGGCCGAGCGTCCCCCAGAAGCCAGGGTCTGCCTGGCTCACTGCCTCATCCTAGAGCCAGGATATTACAGGCCCTAAGCAGGCTTGTCAACAGACACCCTGCTTATAATAGCTAGTGTTACATTTTCAGGGGGATCTCTTCTTTAAGACTAATTAATCTTAGAAGTTGTTTTGGACAGTTATATGTTGATAATTTAAAAGTGGCACGCTGTCGTAAATAAATGTGTGCTGATTTTGTAGGTGTGGGAATTAACGGCCAACAATGTGATCATGGTTTCCGCTATTGGCAATGACGGTCCTCTTTACGGGTGAGTATCCCCATGGGGATGACCTTAGAAGTGTTTTTTTCTGTGAAAGAGCTGCAAAGCTGTTGCCTATCTCTGTATCTATCTGTACCTGTTGATACCTAGTTAATTTATGGAGTTTGCAACATACAAAAAAACAGTGTAATGAACCTCTGGTTACCCATCGCCTACTTTAGCAGTTGTCAGTTCAAGGCCAATCTTGTTTCTGTTTGTTTGTTTATTTTTTTGTCAATGACAATTTGGAGGTATAAAGTTTTTATTGTACTTTTTTTCTCTGCCAAAATCAGTCAAGGAAGTAAATCTGTTAGAGATGATATGTGGATTCCGCAGTATTTATTGAGACCCACTCTGTACAAGCAGAGGGCTGAAGATGTAGATAAGACGAGGTGCTGCCTGCCTCCTTTTTAGGAAAGATGAGATACAAACACAACAAAACTAGCTCAGGGGAGAAAGTGCAGGGTGGTGTAATGGAGTCAGATGGTGCTTTGAGGTTTGCTGAGGGGGATCAGGGAAGCAGAATGGTGCTGGGTTGTGAACTAAAGCAGCGTGAGGGGCAAATGTGAGCTTATTCAGAGTTGGGGGCACGGGGCTTGCCTTGAGTGGGGATATCAGAAACCGGAGAAGTGGCAAATGGGAGGAATATATAAAGCGCAGGCGAGAACCTGGTGAGATCACCTAGTCACTGAATCACAGGCAGTAAACTTCCTACCAACAGCTCTGGCTGTTACTCTTTAGGTCCTGGACATAAGTGACCTTGTGCTGAACCCTTCGTGGTAGGATGCTCTTCAGCCCCCTTTACTGGGTGCCCAGGATATGTGCATTTTGGTGCTGTGACCAACAGTGACCACAAAAGAAAAGAGAAAATACAGAGTCTGCCCTTGCTGCACCGTAATTCATTAGAGGGAGAGTCGAGCACGTGCATTCCCTCCCACATGCATGAGTCTCTGGGGCCCACGGCGTGGATGTGCGCTGTGCCTTCAGGAACACTCACTGCATCTTGCGGTGCCAACCCAGGAGCACATGCTGGGGAGGCAGCGGTCTCAGGGACTGGCTTATTCAGAGTCAGGGCCTAGGATCAGGCTGAATAGGAAACGACTGTCATTATAGATCAGAAGCCGTGAATCTTGGCAGCCATGTTTCCACCCTAATAGTGTGTCAGTCAGTGATCCTGCCTCCGTGGGAGGGGCCTGGGGTTCTAGCAAAGTATGTTGTGACTCGTGGGTGTAAGTGGCAGAAACACCCTAACTGTAGCTCTGCTGGGAAAAGCAGCAGTGGCTTGGTGATCTTCCCGGGGTTCCTTGTCTGCCCTTTCAAATAGCCCTCCTGCTTGCCCCCTCTCCCGTGTACAGCATCCCCACTCAGGCCCAGCCCTCATCAGTTCAGAGGCACCAGGCTGTGCGTGGGTTTCATAGCTGTCTTCCTGCCTGGGCAGCATTGGGTTGTGGGAAGAGTGCAGAAGTGAAGCCAGGCAGCCCCACGAGGACTGTGGGACCTGTGGTCCTGAGCCTCCACTTCCCTGCCTGTCTCGGGAGGGTGAGGCTGCCTGCACTTCTGTGCCCGGAGGAAGCAGTCAGTGGAGAGGAAGCACGCAGGTGCCAGGTGGCAACTGCTTCTTTCCTTTGTTCTGCGCTTCTCCTCTTAAGGCGATTTCCTTATTCAGGAATCTACAGTGGATCATTATTGCCTGATCAAATTCAGATTTTTCTTCTTGGTTTTCAAGATCCTCAACATACCAACCTGGAGTTGGCAAACTTTCTGTAAAGGATCAGATAGTAAATATTTTAGGCTTTGCAGGCCATATGGTGTGTTCGTTTCAACTACTCAGCTGCGCTTGTAGTGTGAATGCAGCCTCGGCTGTGTGTGAACCAGTGGGTGTGGCTGTGGTCTAGGAGAAGGATCTACAGAGACAGGTGTGGGCCTGTTGTGGCCCATGGCCATTGTTTGCCAGCTGCAGCCTGCAGCTATTGGCCCAGCTGTTGTATCCTCTGCCCTGTGCACATCCTCCTCACATCTAGTCTCCTGGGTCTCCTGTGGTAACAGTGTTTACCTCCTCCTCCACCACCTGTTCCTGCTGCTGGCCCTCCCAGCCTGCCTGCTCTGGGGAGCACCCACCTCTCTTACCAGCTCTTCCACTGCAGTTCTGATTGCTTTGCCACACGAGTCAGCTTCTGAAATCTGCGGCCTCTCTGGGCAGTCACATGCAGTGGCTCCTGTCAAAGCATTTTTCATCTTCAGTGGGTTAGAGGAGAGTCCTGGAAAGCACGGCCCTGCATCCAAGCATCCAAACCGGGTCTGCCCATAGAGTCCCACAGAGGGCTGGCACCTGCCAGCTACTTGGCAGTGCGGGAATAGCTTGTGCCGTTACAAGGCACTGCCTGGGCATCACATAGGGTTAGTCAGACAGCGGTGACATGCTCAGATTGTGGAGCCATTTATCACAAGCCTCACACCACCAGTCCTGCAGATAATGCTCCCATCCCCAGATGTACGCCCTGCTGCGAGCTCTCTGGGGTCCTGCACCCCTGATACACTTAGACTTCATGGTGCTGGGGAGTCTGCAGTTTCAGCTTCCCTCCTTTTCCGCAACAAAGATTTCTTATGCTTTCCCTTATGTTTTAAGGGTTTGAAACACACTTAAGTATTATAGGGACTGACAGGTGGAGGGTGGGAAAGTGGCATTTTTTGTGTGTTAACTTCAGTGGGAAGTTTTGTCAGTAACTTCTATACTAATCTCTGATCCTTGATTTCATAGAAATTTATGACTTTCCAGCATTAGCCAATAAGAAACAGTCACTTTGGTGCCTCTGAACAACCACCTAGTAGCATGTTGGGCCAGTGAGCTAAGAAGGCAGTTTGGGGGTGACTCATTGTTGTTTAACATAGTTGGTTTAAAAGCACACGTTCTAGAATCTTGCTACAATATCACTGAAGTCACTTGAAATCATTTTGTGATCATCGAATTGTCAGTTTTTTCTGTTACACAGCCGTAATAGATAAAGCTCAGAAATGCAATTTTAAGGCTTGGCATTTTCTACTTTCAAATAGTTCAGCTTCTTCCTGACTTTACAGCAGAAGCGTTAGAGTATCGTTCTTCATTCACTGTAACTTTTTGGCAGAGCTAGTGCACCTGAGGCATTGAAGAGAATCGTGTAGTTGTCTTTGGCGTCTGCCAGAGGGCTCACAGTGATGGCATGAGGCAACCCCACTGAGGGCTCATGATCACGGTCGTGGGTCAGCCCCACAGTGCCCATGAGGGTGGTAGCACACCCTACAAAAGACTACTGAGAACTGCCACCTCTTGGCGAGGCAGAGGTCCCTGTGAGTGCCACTTGCTTCCTGGAGAATGTGGGATGTGGCTAGGGAGGCCCTGCGGGTGCACCTGGAGCAGCCTGAGAGTGAGGGTGTGTGAGTAGGCGATGAGCCCTGACAGTGTTAAGTATTATGAAGTTCAGAGAAAGGGGTGAGAGACCAGGGAGTCTTGGGCCAGAGTACCCCAAGTTAGCAGGAGAGGAAGGAGGAGCGGGTGCTCCAGGAACGAGGGAGTGGCCCGGGCGAGCGTGAAGGCAGCAGTGAGCAGCCCTTGCACGGGGCGGACAGACAGCCGGCCGTGAGGAGCCGCACAGCTGCGCCTACCTGCTCACAGGAGGGCCTGGGACCTCTCAGACTGTTCTGGGAGTATTTGCCTGTATTTGAATTACTTGTTTAAAGTGATTTCTCTGCCTTTGTGTTTGTGCCTCAATTTAGCACCCTGAACAACCCTGCTGATCAGATGGATGTGGTTGGCGTGGGCGGCATTGACTTTGAGGATAACATCGCCCGCTTCTCTTCAAGGGGAATGACGACCTGGGTAGGCTTTTCGTCATTAGTCAGATGTTCCTCACGGAACCACTGGAGGAAGAGCCTGGGGTGTATTTCCACACGTGTAGAAGCGCCGTGGCGCTCACATGTGGAACAGCCTTGAGGACGCCTGCTGGACTGCGGTGCGCTGGGCAGCCCTGGGGTCTCAGTGGTGCTCCCCAGTTCCACTTCTTAATTTATTCTGAGTAAGTCACTCTTCTGGTCAGCTGGATTCATGCCCACTGCCCTAACTAGTAGGAAGGTGAGCAGCCCTCGTCGGTGTTGGTGGGGTGATTCTTCGGCCTTCAGAAGCAAGAGAAGACAGCGAGAATGGCTGAGTGCCACCTCTGCTACCAGGGAAATCGCGGAGTCAGCTAGACATAATTGAAGTGTCTCGAGCAAGTTAATTCATTCAGCTGCCTGGGGTTTAATATGCAAAATCCATCTTCCTTTATCCATCAGAACAGCATTAGATTCAAAATTAGATGCTCCCCGGGGCAGCACTTGGGTACCCTGACCTGCCCCTCTCGGCCCTGGAACCAGATCACCTCTCAGGACCCATGGTGTCATGTCTGGCATTTTGATAAATGATCCTGCATAATCGGCACAGCTGCAGTTGGGGGTACCTTCCGTAACCTAGTGTCCCCCAAATGGATCCAGCATCCATTTATGTTGGATTCATAGGAAAGCCTTTTTCCACTTCAGATTGGTATACTTTTTTCTTAGAGTGTGAGATCCTACTGTAATTCTCATTTTGCCCCAATTGCCAGGAAATTTAAGAGAATGCTAGCCAAAATCTTACCTCAAGTTACTTGCACAGTTAGAATTACCATTCTAAGTGGTTTCACCTAACCCCCTAGCAAAAATTAAAAAAAACCAAAAACACTTTTATTTTTTATTTTCTGATTTTTCTGACATATTTCTAATTTTTAAATTATCTAGAGATAAAACAGTTTCCAGTTTCTAGTCTTGCATGTTAGCAGAGTTTAAACTATTTACTTTCTAATTGATGGCATTACTGTTATACTGGTTATAAAATATACCAACAATAATTTTATTTTCTGCATTGTCATTTAAGCTTGTTTTCTTAATAAGTAAACATTATAGTAAATGTCAGCCTAAAACCATTCCCTCACTGAAGTTATGCTGCATTTAAATAACCTATATTTCTCTTTGGGTCTCACTCATTCCTAATTACATGGAGCGGTGTGCCTCGGGTGCTGTGATGGACACCAGGCTGCTTTCACCCACAGGAGCTGCCAGGAGGCTATGGCCGGGTGAAACCTGACATTGTCACCTACGGTGCAGGAGTGAGGGGCTCCGGTGTGAAGGGGGGGTGCCGGGCCCTCTCAGGGACCAGCGTGGCTTCTCCAGTGGTCGCCGGTGCGGTCACCTTGCTTGTAAGGTGAGTGTTGCTCAGCAGAGAGAAGGTGGTGCCAGCAGACCAGGAGCTGAGTTGCTTGCCGCTGAGTAGGTGTGAGAGTTCAGGAGCATGTCACACACCTTGCTCCGTCTTTATTTCTATCTCCATGGAAGAGGTCAAGTCCCTTCTCTTATAGAGGATTCTTGTGAGTTAGGTGGTGTACGCGTGAACACACTGCACCGCAGACTCTAACTGTAAAGCACATTGCGGAGGCACAGTACCTCTTAACTATTTTTTGGTTTGAGTTCTGTTTCTATTTTGGTATGTTTTGTTTAAAGACTTTATTTTTTTAAGAGCAGTTTTAGGTTCACAGCAAAATTGAGGAGTGCACAGAGATGCCCCTGCGCCTCGTGCCCCCATTCGTTTGTCTTTAATATACCATTTTTGCAGCACAGTTGTACTTGTCACATCCAAACAAGTGTGTGTATCAGGTAAGGAACAGAAAGTGAGGTGTGCTTCCCTGGGGAGTCAGCCCTTAACGGCCGTTAGCTGAGGAGCTGTCAAGCCAGGCGGTGGGCCTGTTTCTCTGTGTAGTTTGTTTTTTCTCTTGGTCTCATTGAGTCCCATTTATAGTCAGAATGGAGGTTAGTGACCGGCCCTTAATTTTGCAGATAGTGAGAAAAGAAAGTCCTCTAAGAGACTTGACCAGAATTGATCCTTATATGCTCTGTCTTAGTCAGACGAGCCATGGCGTCCTGTGTCTCTGCAGCTAATGCTTATTTTATATTTTCTCCCCAAATAACTCTTTCTGTCTAGGTGTGCTTTAGTTGAGCTTTTGTGTTGTGATGACAAAGTCAATTTAAGTTGATTTTAGAGAGGGCCTGGGACCTCTCAGACTGTTCTGGGAGTATTTGCCTGTATTTGAATTACTTGTTTAAAGTGATTTCTCTGCCTTTGTGTTTGTGCCTCAATTTAGCACCCTGAACAACCCTGCTGATCAGATGGATGTGGTTGGCGTGGGCGGCATTGACTTTGAGGATAACATCGCCCGCTTCTCTTCAAGGGGAATGACGACCTGGGTAGGCTTTTCGTCATTAGTCAGATGTTCCTCACGGAACCACTGGAGGAAGAGCCTGGGGTGTATTTCCACACGTGTAGAAGCGCCGTGGCGCTCACATGTGGAACAGCCTTGAGGACGCCTGCTGGACTGCGGTGCGCTGGGCAGCCCTGGGGTCTCAGTGGTGCTCCCCAGTTCCACTTCTTAATTTATTCTGAGTAAGTCACTCTTCTGGTCAGCTGGATTCATGCCCACTGCCCTAACCAGTAGGAAGGTGAGCAGCCCTCATCGGTGTTGGTGGGGTGATTCTTCGGCCTTCAGAAGCAAGAGAAGACAGCGAGAATGGCTGAGTGCCACCTCTGCTACCAGGGAAATCGCGGAGTCAGCTAGACATAATTGAAGTGTCTCGAGCAAGTTAATTCATTCAGCTGCCTGGGGTTTAATATGCAAAATCCATCTTCCTTTATCCATCAGAACAGCATTAGATTCAAAATTAGATGCTCCCCGGGGCAGCACTTGGGTACCCTGACCTGCCCCTCTCGGCCCTGGAACCAGATCACCTCTCAGGACCCATGGTGTCATGTCTGGCATTTTGATAAATGATCCTGCATAATCGGCACAGCTGCAGTTGGGGGTACCTTCCGTAACCTCAGTGTCCCCCAAATGGATCCAGCATCCATTTATGTTGGATTCATAGGAAAGCCTTTTTCCACTTCAGATTGGTATACTTTTTTCTTAGAGTGTGAGATCCTACTGTAATTCTCATTTTGCCCCAATTGCCAGGAAATTTAAGAGAATGCTTAGCCAAAATCTTACCTCAAGTTACTTGCACAGTTAGAATTACCATTCTAAGTGGTTTCACCTAACCCCCTAGCAAAAATTAAAAAAAACCAAAAACACTTTTATTTTTTATTTTCTGATTTTTCTGACATATTTCTAATTTTTAAATTATCTAGAGATAAAACAGTTTCCAGTTTCTAGTCTTGCATGTTAGCAGAGTTTAAA